CTTCCTAAGAACTAAAGGAAAAAAACTGAAGTTAAGAAGATGACTATTTCTCTGACTATGTGTGTACGGTAACAGACCCTGAGATGAATAAAAATACACACTTACCTGTGAAAGGCTCTCAGCATGTATTAAGTTGGTATTCTTCAATTTACGACTGCTCATTTTAACAAATTCAAGTCCTTAAAAAGAAATTACCATGAATGTAATAAATACTATTTTCTTGAAGATATCTAAGAACTTATTCTATAATCGAAATAAATATAAACTTTTAAATATAAAAATGTCCACATTTTAAAAATATTATAAATCCCCAAAGGTTCCTTTTTGTCCAAGTACAGGCTTATTTGATAGTCTCATACTAAACATTGTATGGTTTTTACTACTCACTTTCTCTTAAATCTACTGTATACCATGCCTTTCATATATCTTCATTTTTTGACCTATCTCCTTTCCTTGTTAGAGAATACCTTTCCCATCCCTCAATCCATCCAACAGAATCAACCGTTAATAAAATCTTTCCTTTTCTTGATACTGAAAAATACATAATCATATTGTAGACTAGGTTAATGGACTCTGTGTTTTGTTTTTTAATATTGCCAGAAGGCACATATGCTAGACACAGAGAGAGAATAGGAGAGAAAGCAGTCCCCAGTAAGGTGTGATTATATCACAATCCTTTTTCCTCCATTCTGTCAGATTTGGGTTATGCACCACATGTGCTGGGTTTTTTTTTCCAGCCACTAAGGTCTGGGATTCAAACTACAGTAACACTGTGTGAGATTTGATTCCCTACTCATGTTGCATTTAACTGTTGCACTACGGGGGAGAAGTCATGCACAATAGTACCCTGGGAAGTTAACCTTCCTTGGTCTTGACTATGGGACCCTGAAATGACCTTTTAACTCAGTTCCAGTTCCCTTTACCCTGATCTGAGATCAGTCCTGCTACCAAAAGTACAAGAAGGCACCCTTATCTGAGTTCTTGGGATAGGCTTGACAAACTCCATCTTGTAGCAGATTCTGAAATGGTTTGAATCTTGACTCCCCAGCACTTGACTGCAGCCTGAGAGCAATCCTGCCTGCACAAGGAACTGCTGGCAGATTACCCCGTCTGTCATTTGAACAAGACGGCTGACCTCAGTGCCATGATGAAATAGGTCTTAATCTTGCATTTAGTCGCTCTCGGCCATAGTCTCACTGCAATTCTGCAGACAAAGTGACCAGCCAGGAGACATGCTCTTCTGTGTGTACCTAGGGACAGACTTGAAGAGATCAGGCCCACAACGGATTTTGAAACAGCCCTGAGTCTTGGCCCCAGCTCCTCTGAACTGTAATCAGAGAGCATTTCTGCCTATCAAGGATCCTGGCAGGAGGCAGACCTGTCCATATGCTCACAGGCAGGCTAACCAAACTAGGTCCTACAAAAGTTCCTGAAAATTCCCTGAAAAGCAGATACTATCCCTCTCAACATGACCTGAGGACAGGCCTACCCTGCCTAGGACATGCTGGGAGACATGACCCCAAACGGACCTGAAGATCTTAATCTTGTGGTAGACCCTGAACCAGCACTGTAACTCAGTTCTAGTTATACTCATGGCCTGGAGTGATATACTTGCCTAGGGGCTTTCCCAGTGATCCAGACAGAGGCCTTCTAGGGTTACAGAGCCAGCCACATCAGTCCACACACTTGGTAACAATCTGCCATCCACAGACTCTCATCCTATCATTTGCTGTATGAACTAATGTCCCAAGGAACCAGACATTATTTATGCTGACTATATTCTCTGGTAACAGGCCCGCCAACCATAGACCAAAATACAGACCCAGCAGCAGCCACATGACCTGGCTCAACCCTCATTTGACCTTAAATGTGGAGAAATCCCATCAGTTTGAGAATCTCACAGGAGAAGGCCTTAACCTGTCAGTCAGTATTAATGCCTGGAAGACTTAATTGTATGTTTAAAAACACAGATACAAAAGCAAAGTTAGGAGGATAACACAGAATCAGGCAAATAAGACATACCAAAGGAATAAAGATCAGACTTCTTCCTCCCAAATTAATGGAGTCTATGAATTGTTCAAAAAAAATTTCAAAACTATCATCTTGAAGTTTACTGAGAAGCAAAAAAAAAACCAAAAAAAAAAAAAAAAACAAACAAACAAAAATGGGGAAATGGAGGAAAAAGATTGCTGGGTGACCATGCACCACTGGGGGTGGGGGGATGCTTTCTCGCTTTCTTTCTTTCTCTTGAGAGCGTGCGCACCCAAAGATAATAAAAAAAGAAAGTTTATTTAAAAAAATCTGTATTACATTACTTCAAGATTTTTTTTTTTTGCATCAAATAAACTCATACTCAAGTTCTGTTTCCATAAACATTTTGAAGTCCTATTTTATTTCTAAAATAGTATAAAGATTAAAACTGACTATAGCTAAGATCATCTGTTAAGGGATACAAAATATGAAAGATGCAAATCTATAAAATTAAAAACACAAAATGTTGAGGCAACCAAGTGGTGTTGTGATTAAGATGCTGGACTCCCACGTGACCGACCACAGTTCAAATCCTGGACATGGAGGCTTGCTTTCTCAATTTCCCTCTCTCAGTGCCTCTCTCCTGTGAGTACACATGGCCTCTAGCACATTAAAAAGTAACAATAATAGTAAAATGAAATAAATCTTACCCAAAACAAAACAAATAAGCAAAAAATATTGGGGAAGTAAAAGGAATAGAGCTTTTATATGCTATAGAAAATAGGTTCTCATCTTAAAATAACCTGTTTTAACTATAAGATCTTAAAGTATGTTTTCGTGGAGGGCATGTGTGTACTGGGAAGTTTTCCCGGACAGCTTATGTACACTCCAGAAAGACAGACAGGGAGAAAACAACTCTCCCAATGGAACATGGTCATGCTACAATCCCTTCTCTAACTCTCCAACCTGATTTGGGGCATACATACACCTGGCATATTTTTCACACCTCCAGGGATGGGATTTAAACCACTTGATTAGCCATGTATAATCTAGCTCCCTTAACCATCAGACTACAGGAATGGTCCTTTATCGTAAGATGCTTTACGTTAGCTTCATGGTTACCAAACAGCAAAAACCTTTAGTACGGGGGCCAGAAGGTAGCATAGTGATTAGGGTAGCATAATGGTTATAGCCCTGGACTCCCACATGGCTGACTACAGTTCAAGTCCTGGACCTGGCAGCTTAAAAATCATACTGGGTGCACATGCATGCATGCCTTAAATCCAAGGAAGAGGCTGGAGAATAAGGAATTGTGGCAATGGCCATCCCTCATGGGGATGATTTCTCACTTTCCCTCTTACTGTCTCTGTTTCTCTCTGGTGAGTGCACATGCTCTAAGGCAAAAACTTTAAATCAAACAAACAAATCTACAGTATGTACAACAAAGAAAAAAGAGAAGGTAATCAAAGTACAGTACTATACAAAATCATGAAATCAAAATGGAAGACAAGAGAGGAGGGAAAAACAAAGGATCTACAACAAAACCTGAAAACAAAATGACAGGTCTGGCCCAAACCTCTCCTTCCAGCCTAACACCCAGTGAAAAGCCGGAATCCAGCATCTGAGGAAGGCCTAGCCCTGCCCCTTTAACTCGAAAGCCTCTGCCCCAAACCTCTCCTTCTGACTCAACAGCCAGTGAAAAGCCGAAGGTAGGAAATAATGTATGACCAGAAACCACCACCACAGAGGCACAAGAAATATGGGAAATCAAGAAAATATCTCTCCCCCAAGGGGAAAGAACAGTCCTTCATCATCCATAGACAGTACAACAGAACTTATGGAAATGCCAGATAAACAATTTAGGATATTCATAGTGAAGCTATGAACTTCAGAACAGAATTGCTAGAGATGAAGGAGGTAATTCAGAAAATCAAAACCTCCCTTGAAAGTATTAAAATCAGACTAGATCATGCAGAAGACTGAATATCAGATGTAGAAGACAGAACCTCTGATCTAGAAAAATTCACCAAAAAGACTGAGAAAATAATGCCAAAAAATGAGAAAAATATACGAGTAACACTAGACACCATTAGATGCCGAAACACCTGGATAATCTGTATCCCAGAAGATGAAGAAACTAATCAGGGCTTTGATAATCTAAACCATGAAATCCTGGAAGAAAACTTTCCAAACCTAGAGAGGCATTCAAATATCCAGACCCACAAAACACAGAAGACCCCACATAGAATCAATCCAAGAAGATCTCCAAGGCACATCATAGCCAGATTGACCAACTAAAGACAGAGACAAGATACTAAAATTGGTAAGAGAAAAATGTCAAGTTACTTTTAAAGGATACTCCATCAGGCTAACATCGGACCTCTCCTCAGAAACAATGCGAGCAAGGAAAGAATGGGAAATATATTCAAAGTGTTAAGTGAAACACAATTTTAAACAAAAATACTATATCTGGCAAGATTATCCTTCATATGGGAAGAAAAGATGAAAACATTCTTAGATAAACAAAATCTGAAAGAATTTACCCATATCAGACAAGCTCTTTAAGAAGTTCTGAAGGGAGTACTATACCAGGAAAACTAAAGACAGAAAAAGAGAACAAAAAATGACCAAAAAAAAGGCCAACTTAATGGTAGGGACAAGCTCTGAAATAGCAATAATAATGCTCAACATTAACGGTTAGGACAGACCACAGTAACACTGCAAATTCAACAAAAGAGAGATTAGATAAGAGTGAACTGGTAAAATAGAATTCTATGACTTTTTTTCTAAAACATTACTGACTTTCTTCTATGGTTTATCTTCCAGATTTAAGGATTTTTGTTTTCTTTTGAGTTGTTGAGTTCAGCAATTTGTTAAAAAAAGAACTTTTTAAATTGGAACATAAACTTTTCTCCCTTCCTGACTCCTTTGCAATTAGAAAATATTTGTGAGTATTTTTTTTTTTTGAGAGGTTTTTGCTATAGGGTGTGTGCACTTGCCAGAAAGACAGAGAGAGACAGAGAGACAGAAAGTGAGAAATCACCCCACAGAGGGGATGGCCATGCCACAATCCTTTCTCCTCTATTCTCCTCTCAGGATATTGGACATGCACACACACACATGCACCCTGCATGAGTTTAAGCCACTGGGTCCGGGACTTGAATCGCAGTTTACTACATGAGAGTCCAGTGACATAGCTATTACGCTA